ATATTTACATGAAATATATTGCAAAAATTTTTATTAATGAAAATTAATTTAATTTTAATATATGTATTTTTATTATTGAAAAGCGACTTATTGAGGTTCACCATTGAATAGTTGCCTAATAAATTCAAAGTAAATTTCTTAAGAATTAAATTTTTAAACACGTTTATTCAATATTTATACAAAATTTACAGCTGAACGAAAATATTAAGAGAAAAATTCCTATTATATTCCTTCCTTTATTAAATCGACTACAAAGAACTTAGGTGACGCTATTTTTTCTTTCATTTTTGCTTTGTTGGTTGAATGATGTAAATGAAATTCGCTTGAATTATGTTTATAAATATGCGTAAATTAATGTCCTAATAGGCTTCCCATGGAAATATATTTCGTTGAAAATTAGCTGCAATTTGAGCGGAATCAAATTAATATTGATTTATTTATGAGACCCAAAATAAAATAACGATGAAAAGTGGCTTAAAAAGCAGAGAAATTGATTTCTGGATCGTGTTTGGAATGAGAGCAACTTCGGGCAGAAGATACAGTTGGCTGCAACAAAAATGCTGGCCAGACCTGACTAGAGAGAGAGAGAGAGAGAGAGAGGGTGTGAGAAGAGTTGTTTCCCGCTCTAGTGCTGCAGCAGCAGCGTCATCAGCAGCTAAGTGTTTAAGTGTTCTAATGTAACTTTGTCTCAACTGCTTCAGTTGCCATTTCTCACTCATTTTCCCGGTGCACTTTGGTCGATGGAAGTACGTCGACTGCTCCTAATATGATTATGATTGTTTCTTTTCTCTCTCTCTCTTGTTGCTTTATGCAAATTATCGAGTGTAATCAGTCAGTCATAAAAAAGTAAACTTTAAATTGACTAATTCCAAAAAAAAAAAAAAAAAGTAAAAATATTTTAAACTGGCCGACGGTCATTTTAATTATCTGGCAAAAAAATGCAAAGCAGCTACAACAGCAATAGCAACAGCAACAACAACAATGACAGCCAAAAAGAAATTCAATTAAAATGGAATCCCCGGAAATTCCTTGTAATCCCAAACAGGCCAGAAAAGAAGCAGCAGCAGGAGCAAAAGCAGGAGCAGAAGAAGTGCGTATAATGCGTATACATATTGTCAAAAGGCAAATTGTACAACTCACGAAGGTAGCACAAAACATGTGGCCAATAAATTCGTGAACAGCAAAAAAAAAAAACAGGAGGAAAAAAAGAAGAAGAAGTAACTTAAGTATGTAAATTGCCGCACGTTCATTTTTTGATTTTCCCCAGCATGAAATCAGTATAATCTGTTTTGTCAGTGCCCTGACCAACAACAGCGACAGCAATGGCAGCAGCTGAGCAGCAACAGAAAAGTCAACGCAAACTTTGCCAGCTGAAGTTGATTTAAAACGCGATGCCAAACTCGCTCAACCTACGCTGTGTGTGTGTGGGTGTGTTAGCCCACCGGGTGCTTATCCGTGTCCGTGCTCTGGTCCGTATCCCTGCCCAGAAGCGCTGATTAACGCACTCGAGCGCAATCTGCCTCACTTCACTTTTATGTAAACACAAAACAGAATATAAAGGCATAAAGCAAAATAAAATAGAACGCCTCTCTTTCTATCCGTCTGTCTCTTTCTGTCTCTGTGGCTGTCTGTCTGYAGAGCAGCAGGCCTATCTAGATGTGGAAAGCAAAAAAATAAATATATGTTTGACTCTCCGTCTGCCTTTTCATATTAAAGGTAATTTTCATATTTTTACAAATGGCTGCCTAGCAGTACCTTCTCTCTGTCTCTTTCTCTCCTTCTCTCTCTCTCGCTCTTTATATCTTTGTGAGCTGTTTTAGCATACGCCAAATTCAATCATTTAAATTCAAAAATACACATAAATATACTTATATGAAAAGAACAGAATAAAAGTATATATATTACCTACAATATATACAGGTAATGTATATATGTATGTGTGTATATATCTACAAAACCCTACTTGTACATTGTGTGGCAAGGTCAACGGCCGACAATTGTATAAAATGAAAATATTATCCACGTGGATTTTGGTAAAGCAAAGACGATTGTAATACCCTAAGGTGTAAAGATTACAAACACGATTTCGCTTGAGTAATGGGCGTGTGCTACGCATATCAAAATGGACTACTCAGACTGTAAAATTTATAAGAGTTTCATTCTTGAATTGTGAGTGCTCTTGTGTATATACATACATATGTATGAGATGTGGTTAGGCATAAATTGATATCAGGGGAAGAAGCAAGGAGTTGGCAATTGTTTGAAGCAATCGTGTTAATGTGCGGCTAGTCAATTGCGCTTGAAGTATGTAGGTCACAATAGGCTGGTTATTAATTAAATTAATCTAGTTTTACTTTGATTTATTGGCAATTTGCTGCAGCTGCATTATGTGATTTAATTAGTCTAAACTTGACTATTAGTTATTCAAATAATTATATTGATGAGTGAAATTGATTATTATTATTATTATTATTTTTTTTTTTTAAGTCAAATACTATAAAATTTTTGTTAAATATTTTCAAATATTTATACGAAACCAATTTTTTATTTCAATTCAAATAATGAAATAAATAAGCATATAATATGGAATCTAATTTTTATTACATAAAATTATAGTAAAATAAACTAAAAACAGGAAAATTCGATAACTATAAAACATCTAATAAATATGCAATATATATTATTTTTTTTTTCTTCAATTTTTGTATAACGTTAAATAACCAAAGGCGCTGTAATTTTAATTGAATAAATTATGTAGCCGTAAAAAATTATATAATTAATAATCAGTCGTGCCTAATACCTGACAGTAACTAGATTATAGTGAAGCTTATGTCATATCAAATGCTGTCATATGTTTAGTTATGCAAAAATAAATATTAATAAATGCTCTGCTTTGCCGAAAATACTAATTATTATTTAATATGTTAGGAAAAATAAATTGCATTTTATTGCTTTAAGTATTTGTATAAATAAATGATTAGTTGCCTGAATTTTCGACACTTTTTAAAGTAAAAAAATAAAAAATCTTTTCCACAAAATTGTAGGAGTCGATTTAAGGTTTCTTTTTTCTTGTTATTCTTGACGTCAACCTTTGAACTTTGTTTCGATTTGGCACAAGCCAAAGGCTTGACCCTTGACTTTTTACCCAATTTTAGATGCGAATCAAGTTTATTTTTAAGTGTTCCTATGGCATTGCTTTGCTCTTGCTCTTTTAAACTGGGCTAAAACTTGTTCTGCTCTATCTCCAGCAAGCGTTACCAATCTCGTGCTCAAGTTATGTTATCCATCGTCCCAAATGCGAGTGCATCAAAAGGGCAAAATCTGAACTGAGTCGCGGCTTGCAAAACTTGCAAAAAAAAAAAAAAAAACTGAAAAAAAGATGGAAATATTTTAAGCTGAGGCGCCCAAGCAGCGTGCTGCAAAAAATATTTATTACTCACGGCCAGGCAGAAGCATCTATGTATGTGTGTGTGTGCATGAACGTGTGTGTGTGTGGGGGTGCTGTGTGTGTCTAGTGGAAGATTGTTTGCCCTCAAGGTGAAAATATGCTAAGTAACAAATAAAAGCAAGATCTCTATCAGAGGCAGGCAGCCTCAACTGTGACGGCGACGGCGGCAGCGACTGCAGCGCCTGCGTCGACTGCAAATGTTGCAAACGAGTCGAGGCGTCGCGTCGCGTCGTTCTTTTGGCTTTTTATGTATTTCTCTTTTTTTTTTTGAGGTTTTTTTGAGAAGTGCGGCAAAACTAGAGCAGGATGAGGAATGAAACCAAACGAAACGATACGGAACGGATCGGAACGAAATAGACGGCCAAAAGCAAAGCTTGTAAACAAATTAAGAGATTGCTTTCGGCCAGGCGGCCCTCAAAAGCGTTGAACTGAAGGCTAAGCCAATGGGCGTAGCGCCCCAGCAATGGGGCAATGGGCGTTTCTAATCAAATCAGTTGCTGCATGCAATAAATTCCAACGGGGGGCAACAAACATAACAAAAATACAGAGAAGTAAAATGAAAAACACTTTGCGGTTCCTGCTGCTGCTGCTGCTGCTGTTGCCACAAGCTGAAGCGACAAACAACAAAATTGATTGGGCGACTATTTTTTTTTGTTTGCTTTTTTTTTTTTAGGTGTAGTGCGTGCAAAATTTTTGTTTACAAATTGTTCAACTTTCATAAAATGTGCCCAAAGGGGCACAAGGAGTGGGGCGTGGCTATGGCGTGACTGCGTTTCGTAAAAGGCTGGATTTGTTTTTTTTTTTTTTTTTTGTAGTTTTCTCTTTGGCCTAATATCATGTAAATTTGATTATTTTAAATCATGAAACTCTCAAGCGTTTTGTAAATAATTTCCAGCAGGCCAGTTAAAAGCTGACAAAGCATCTCCAACAACTATGAAAAAAGTGCATAGCCTTGAATGTCAACAAATGTATATATGTATGTGTATATGTATATGTATGCGGGTTAGAATAACTTAGTGATTAAAGAGATTTGAAGAGTAGCTAGGCAAGTTTGAAGTGGCCACTGGAATAGCTGGAAAATGTTCCTTACTTAAAGAGAACCGAAAATTGAAAGCAGCTGAGCAACTAAGAGAATGTTTTATGTAAAAGTTAAAGTATAAAAATTTTGCACACGTATATAAAATAAAATTTAATTAAAACGTAATAGAAATCTAATGATATGTCTTCTATTTACTTAACAAAAATCAGAANATTATTATATGTATTTTTATTTTATATGTGTTATTGTACTTTTTCTGTCTTTATTAAAATTCCTAAACATATTTCATCAAGCAGGAGATTGGTTATAGATTAAATAAATAGATATTCCATGTGCATAAGTTTCCACATGATTTGCCATTTAATTACGAATTGTCTTTAGCTTGTTGAACTGGTAGCAATTATTTTGTGATGTTTATAGTTAAACTTAATTCAAACTAAAAAAAAAACATAAGCTACTCCACTTAGTAAAAAAACTAAAAGTTCTCCATCAAATATCCTAGTTAAGGCACATGTCAATAAAAATTCAGTATATTTTGTATAAATCAATCCATTACTTGTGAGCCGATGTCAGAAGTTAGCTATCGTCCGTTCTATGGCCGCACCATTGCCTACACCGAGGACAACATCGAGATAAGGAAACTCTTTGTGCGGGCTGTGCCAATCGAGATGGAGTCGGAGCTGTTGTTGAACTACTTCAACAGCTTTGGCAGAGTGCTGCAGATGGAGCTGACAGAGAAGACGACTGACAGGAGATTTAAATACGGCTACGTTCTGTACGAGAGCTCACGGGATGCAGCGGATGTGCTGCTGAAGGGGAGGCATTTGGTCGAGGAGCAGCTGGTTAAGGTGGAGGCGTTCTATAGCTGGGGTCAGCCGGCGTCTGTGGAGCGCTGTGGGTCCATTTGCCAAATGTCGCCCATAATGAGGCTTAATGATGATTGCCTGCTCTGCATATACCGTTATCTAGCGCTTGTGGATCAACTCAGCCTGGCACGCGTCCTGCAACGCTGTCCGCCCCTCTACAGCTCCATTAATCTGGGCGTCTTCAAGGGGCTCAGTCTGTGGCATATACGTGATTTTCTGCTGCTATTCGGCCAGCATCTGAGCCAGCTTGTTGGCCAAATACCGCGCAATCATCACCAGAGGCTGATTGAATACCTGGCCAGCCATTGCCAGCGACTCAAGGTGCTGCGCCTCAGATATAGTCCCTTATCGCTGCGCAACATGCATAAGCTGTTCGACCAGCTGCAGCAGCTGGAGGAGCTGGAGTTGTCCAACTGCGAACTCAGGGATGAGTGCCTGCTGGAACTGAGTCATCTGGCTAAACTAAAGACTCTGAATCTCTGCTACAATGACATGCTGACTGGCCGGCACATGGATAAGCTGCCAAGCTCTATAGAAACATTAGATCTCCTATATTGCTTCGATCTGCAGTTTGCGCTCCTGCCCAGCATCTGCAGCTGCTTGCCCAAGCTCAGGGAGCTGAGCGTCAAGGCTGTGCACACAGAGCAAACGGATGTACTCCGGACATTGGCCAACGAGCACTGCTGCGAGCGTCTGGAGCGACTTGCACTGAAGACGCTCAGCTACCAGGAGCAGCCTCTGCACCTGGAGTACCTGGCCAAGCTGCCCGCTCTCCGGCAGCTGATCATGCACGATAGTCCGCCCAGCCTTGAGCTGCTGCAGTGGCTCGCCACATACAAGGCGCAGCAGCTCGTGCAGCTGGAGAGCAGCTCTCGCATCTCATTGGATGCCAGGCACTTGGAGCTGGTGGCTCAGCTGAAGGCGCTGCGTATTCTCTCGCTGCCCCATCACAATCAGCTCGACGATGATGGCATGGCAAAGCTGTGCAGTCTCCGGGACTTGCGGGAAATCTCTTTGCAGTCGTGCAAGCAAGTCACAGAGCAGGCGATTCTCCGTCTGCTGATCAGCTGCAAGCAGCTGCATGTGCTACATCTGGAGCGTTGCGTCCTGCTCTCTGGGAAGCTCATCTATAGCATTGAGAGTCAGCTGCGTGAGGAGCTGCACAGTGGCTTCAATCAGCGCCAATTGCCAGTTAAGCTCTTCTTTTACGGCTCGAAATTTAATGAGTTTATGCTTAATCGCCCAGATTTAGTGCATAACGATGTGGTGCATGTAGAGCTGACTCTTTGTCCGAACTGGTAGAGCAGGCCCTGGGTGGGCTGGGTGAATAGCTGGGGAGAGTTATGAACCTTCTTGTTTGCAGGTGTATATTTATTTAAATTTTAATAGTTGATTCAAATCAATAGATCTTATTACAATTCATAGAAAGATAATTGTGTTTCAGTAAAGCAGCTCGAAGCTAAATAGCCGCTAACTTGACAGTCTACTAGGACATTAGAAAACTGCATGAATAGGCCAAGCTGAAGCGAATTAGTTATCAATATTTAATAAACATCGATTATTCAAGTTCCTAAGAAGTTGGAGTTGTCTGGAGAAAAAAATATTAAAGTAAAGCTATTATTTTCGTTTTCTTATAATTTTTTGTACTTATTTTAAATATAATATTTTGATATATACCTCTTTGAAAGGGTAAACTTAATTATATTTTAAAATTTAATTAGTAATTTTAATTAAAATTACATGTTTGCACAATAAAAAACCGAATATAAATGTTGCTGTATATATAAATATATACATATATATTTTTGTGCTCAGGAAAATGAATTATTAAATTAAAATATAATTTCGACGTAATATAAATGCTTAATACGCAAGATAGCTTGAAGTAGTTTTCTATATGAGAAATAAAATGATGTATATAATAATTTTAAAGTCCTTAAAGTGCACAAAAACAGTTAAATAGATCAGGCATAATTGGGATATAAATATTATAGACAGACAGATTATATACAGATATAAATAATAATGATAAATTGTAATACAATACTTTCTAAAAAACACTTCAACTACAATTATAAGTTTCCATTTTTGGTGCATAATATTGCATTTCCGTTAGCATATGATGAAATTTCCTTGGCCGTTTGCCTAGCGCCTTGTGGCAACTGAATGGAAAAGCGCAGCAAAGGCAGGTGTAGCTAAGGAAAACTTACTGGGTAAATAGCAGCCGGCAGCTAAACAAAATGACCAAGGTTATGCATATATTAAGGATAAACATAACTTTTACGGAAATTATAATTAAACGTGGGCGCCTCGAATCGAGAGTTGAGCTGAGCCGAGCCGAGGCGAGGCAAGTCGAGTCGCGTCGCATCGAGTTGAGTTGAGCTGAGTCGCGTGGAGAGTTCAAAAGTTGGCAAAGCGCCGCACGCGGAATAGTTTTCTAATTAACTGTGAACTATGCGCAGCAGAGAAAAGACGCACAGCAATATTAAAAGAGAAATGAACAGGGATAGACCGAGAGAGAAAGAGAGAGAGAGAGAGAGAGAGAGAGAGAGAGAGACATAGAGTGAGAGAGTGAGAGAGTGTGTGTTAAGGGCGTCCAGTGCTGGAGCTGGCTGTGAGATAAACCGTGAAATCTCATGAATTAACTGTGCCAACTTTTGGCTCCTGGCTGGCGCACGAAACTATTTGAAAAGAAAGACAATTGCAACGTGAGAGGCAGAAAGAGACAGAGAGAGAGAGAGAGAGAGAGAGTTACAGAGATGGGAAACAAGCCGAGTCTGCTGACGGCAACGGCGACAGTTTCTCCACAAATGATTTAGTTGCGGCGGAAAGCGAAACGTCGCCAACAAACAACTCGAGTGCGGGCTTGCCGCCATTGTGCCCGCCAGTGTACCGGAAATGCCGCACAAATGAGAACTGGAAATGGAAGGAAGTTGACAAGGCATGCAGCGTGGGAGCCACGCAGGGCGCTGCTGGGAATCGAGCTGCTCGTGTCCCCGTGGGGCAGCGCGCACAGTAACGTGCGAGGCGTCAACAATGTCACATGACAGGTCGTCGCAACACCAGGCCAGGCCCGACAGGCCGACAGGCCGACAGTCCGACACTTGGACAGTTGGACAGTTGCACATTCGGCAGTGGCTCTCAACACCGAGTGAGAGTGAGTCGAGTCGAGTCGAGACGAGACGAGTCTGGAGACTCTGACTCTGGCAGCTCCATTGGGTCGCTTCTCTAATTAGCTGCAGTAATGGCATGTCAACAGTGCCAAGCGTGGCATCAACTTGCACAGGACAACGCCAAGACAACGACCGCCGGGTTGCTCCGATTCCTGCTTTTGCTTCTACTCCTACTCTCTCTATATCTCTTTTCTCCTTCTCCTTCTGCTCATCCTTATCCAGAGTGTAACTGGAGACAGGCGCCATAGCGCCAGCTTTCCCACACTGTGATATGCAGCTCTTAACCCATTTTGCTCAACAAAAACGCTTCACGAAATTAAACACAAACTATAAACAGTGGCGGAAAGCATTCTTAACAAAATATGTATTAAGTTCCAAGCATCCCAGTTGCTAGCTATTCTCTACTTAAGCACTGAAAACAATTCTCAGAATCTCTTCTTTAAAATGCTTTAACAATTTTTCGCATGCTTTTCTTTTCATTTTACTCTGCTCTTCCCGTCTTCCCGTCCTCCCTCTCTCTCTGTCTTTGTGTCTTTTTTCCCACGCAAACAAACCAACTGGCTGTGCTGAACAGTTTAATCTCAGATAGAGACCAAATGGCAGAAAATTTTAGCAAATGTCAGAGCTGTGTAACAGACTTTGATATTCTTATGCTAAACGAAATCAAATTTGACATAAATTAGAGGTAATAAAAGTTTAATTACAGTCAATTATATACAATTGCATCAGAGCGCAGTCAATAATTTTCAATTATGCGTATGCAATACAGAGAGATAGATAAGTAGAGGAGGGGAACGGAACTGACAAACAGACAGACAGGGCAGGGCAGGGCTGGATCGACTTGGACTGTCCAGAATATCTTTATATATTAATATATAAATGTCTGTCTGACTTCTTCTGTCGGCTTCATCTACTTTATAAAGGGAATTATTTGCACAGTCTTCAATTAAGCTGCTGAGATGAAATTTTATATTTCGGATCCTGAATATCTTCAGTAAAAAATAAAATGTATTTAAATTCATAAAGACTTGTTCTCTGGCATATTCATGCATCTGCATGCCATTATTATGCTCTGAATTCATTCATATCATTAAGAAACTGCATTTGGCACAACAATTTTTCAACAATTAATTTCATACAGTAAACTCGAGCCCACAAAGAGGTCCAAGTACAGTCGTTGCGTTAGCTGCGCTGATGTGTGTGTGTGTGAGTAGCTGTGTGCTCTGTGTGTGTGTGTGTTTCCGTTTGGGTTGCTTTGAATGCATGAAAGAAGAGTGCATTGAGTCTTTAAAATAAATTAAATAATCTTTAAAAAAATTTACTGTAATCTGCTCTGGATTTCTTAAAAAAAATAGATATTGAATTTCAAATAAACCAGAGCAAAATTGATAAACACCTCCTTTTTTATTTAAGTCAACCTGCTCCAAGCGAATTGTTAAATTTTCTTAAAAGTCATACATTTCTTGAATTTTAAAGTCAGGCAGATCGCCATGGGATAAAAATATTCATCTTCTTCTTCTTCTTGAAAAGGTTGTTCAAAGGAATATTCTATATTAAGTTACTGTATAAGGTTATCGACTACATTCAGCTGTTAATTTTAATTTATTTCCTTTTTTTATAAAATAAGACTTGTTATTTATTCATGCAATATCTTACCCCTGTCGTAGTTTAAAAAATAATTAAAAACGTTTAATGCCATTCCGGCTTAGTTCTTAGGACGCAAAACACAGGTTTCCTGCAAAAGCTTGAGCATGTGTGGAGATTTATGGATCTTGAGTTAAATTTCAATGAATAAAGAGCTGTGGAGCTTGAAGAAGAGCTGAAAAAGAGTTTTTGAAATATTTGCTTTTTTATTTTAAAAGTTTATATAGTAAACTCTAAATATAATCCATTGGAAATGGTTTCAAGCTTAATTAACAATAAATTAAATATAGTATAAAATGTGCAAAAATTTCTGTTTTATTTCAATTTCGTTTCGGAATTCTAATATGAAGAATATTTTGATAAAATTTTTTGTAAATTTGTTAGATATTTTTAAACAATATAAATTGCAGACGAAAAGCTGAACGACAACTCAATGTTAAACTCCCTTTTCCCCTACGCAAATAGAGTATGTCCATGCTTAGTATTAATTCCTCCAATCCTCGCTCAGGTCCTAAGTCAAGTATTTCCTGCTTGCTGTAGATTATGAAAAATTTCATTTAGATTTGTTCTACTTAACACGAATTTCCACTTATTACCTGTATTCCGGTGCATTTCGTTGTGGTTTACCTTTGCTCGCAATCGACCCAAAGCAAAATCTTCGTGATTTTTCCCCTTGAACATTCACGAATTTTTTTGGCTCCGTTTTTTTTTTTTTTTTTTGTTTTTTTGTTTTTTTTTTTTTTTTCATTTGACATAAATAATTGGCGCATAATGAGCATAACTTGAAGCAAATTACAGCGCGTGTGCTTCGAACGCTAAGCAGTTGGGTGGCTCTGCCATGGCCACGCCCACGCCTACATGGGCGCCCACGACAGCGGCAGTGCCCTACAGGGCTCCAAGGCATTAGGCAAAAGGAAAACTTAAAAATATGTCCGGGCTGTGGGTGTGGGTGTGGGCGGGATGTGGAAGAGCGAAGGCGAAAAGCGATGCCAGCCTTAGTTATCAACATCCACTCTGTGTGCGTGTTTGTGTTGGTGTGTGTGTGCCTTGTATATGTCGTCCTGCTGTTGGTCCTGTTGCTGGCACAGTTTTTGCGCTATTTTCGCAGCGCTCTGCTTCTTGTTAAGCTGCGCCAACGTTTTTCTTTAATTATTCAAAAGATAATTACACTAAAAATTTTTTGTCATTTGCAAAAACCGTCCCCAAGTAACCCAACTTGCAGTACAAAATCTATAGACACACTCTTTTTTTTCGCTCCTTTTCATATATATGTATATCTTTCGTTTTTTATTTTCCATATTTTTTTTTTACCCTTATTTTTTGGACAAAGTTTGCTGTGCGAAGAAACTTGCAGCCAAGCGCTAAAAATGCTATTTTTATTTTGCTTTTCATAATTGCCAGCCAAGCGAGGGACAGAGAGGCCGATAGAGAAAGAGAGAGAGAGAGAGAGTGAGATAGTCRAAGGGAAGAGCATCTGCCGGATGGCAACGGAAAG